ATTGGAGAGGTGGATCTGGGATGATCCCGATGGAGATGCTGCTGCTGGCGGCGGCGTGAGGGAAAAGAGGGAGGATTTGGTGGATGGGACGGCTCTCCTCAAAATTAGGGTTGGACTAGTTATTTATAGCATATGGGTGTTTGGCTAGGGGCTAATCTGGATCCTTCGATCGAAATCGAGCGGTTGGGAAAAATAGGCTAGGGAGCCTAAATAAAAAAACAGTGATATTTTGTAGATGTTTGGGGATGATCCGGATCCAACGGTGACGACTGTCCGGGTCGGGTCCGGGACAACATTCGGACGCGCGCGAGGAGGGCCGCGGGCTGACGAGAGAGGTTAGGTTGGGTCTGGCGGATTGTGAATAGCGGGTTGGTCTGAAAGAAGAGGGGAGAGATGCAGCCCGGCATGGTTTCCGGAGACCAAAAACGTCCGACGTTAGACCGGCTATACTGCCGCTATATTTATCCGTTGGGGCATCAAACGATCTCCGAATGCGATGAAACTTGATAGGCGGTCTATCTACACTATAATAAGACCACACGTCAACTCTCATACCATTCCGAGAACATTTTCCGGCCACTTATAAAATACTATTTCGGACATGCCGCGGGCGCGTGCAAGTGTGGTTGGGCTCAGAACGGACAACGGACGGAACTGGGGGAACCCGGACGGATGCAGGTTTTGAAAACATGATGATGCAATACACATGATGTCATGATGAAATGCAACACGCAAGCAAATGACATGGCAACAACAGCGAATAACTGGAAGACACCTGGCACATCGGTCTCGGGGCGTTACATTCCAGGTGATATATTGTAGTTCACAACAAAAGCTTCAAACTCCTTTAGCAGTGAAGCCATGACCAGGTGGACCAGGAGTTTTGGTTTGATCTCCAGATCCTCATCCATGGGCTTTAGCTTTGCTGCCATATTGCTCATCCTGAGGATGTGGTCTCTTATTCCATGACTACCACCTGTGTAGCGTTCTGTCACCAGTTGCTCTAACACCTGGGTGGCATATATCTTTGAAGAACCAGTGAACTGGCTCTTTATCTTTGAAAGCAACTCCCCTGCGGAAGTGCACTCTGCAATGGAGCCCACAATGGTGCTCTCAATTGTATTCTTTATAAAGGCCATGCACTTTTTGTTTGCATTGACCCACTTTTGGTTTTCTATGATGTAGGACATCTTGAAAGGAGCATAACCCCCCCTCTTTTTAGCCCACGCAGCATCATCATGAGTGGCCTCTCTTACTGACTCTGTAGGTCTGACCGGCTGTGGTTCATCCAGAACCCAATCCAGATCAGGACAGACAAATGCTAGTTCAACTTTCTTTCTCCACTCAGTGTGATTGTCACCTCTGAGTGTCGGAACATCTTTTAGGCAACTCATCAAGTGAAAGCCTCCTGAAATCACAATTTCTGTGACATCAATATAACAATCATATGCATTAATCTAACGTTGGTCAAATTAAACATATAATTGTCTATGCAATTAAATCTATATTACCGTTGGGCAAAAATTAAAAATAAATGCACCTTTAAATTTCAATAATAAAACATGATCATGTTATTAACAACGTTGGTCATAAAAATAACATAATCCTATTCATTTTAATAATCACTTTAACATGCTCTTAAAAACTTAATTCTATCAAATTTTTTGTTAAAGAGCACTATTAATTATTTACGCAGCGGAAAAACATGAATAAAAATTCATGAACCTTTTACTATTTTACAGAAACTTTTCTTTGACCGAATAAGAAATCATGAACTTTTCTAATTTCCTTTGCAAAAATTCATGAACATTTCTATTCTTTTCAGAAACTTTTCTATTTTCTGAACAATCAAAAAAAGAGAAAATAGCTGCAGCAGAGCCCGACGCGCGTTGCTGCGGCCTCGGCCCAGCACGAGGCTGCGGCCTCGTCCAGCGCGCGCGGCTGCTGGTGGCCTGGGCCCACTTGGGTCCCCCTTTTGGCCAGCGGCCTGCCCTGGGCGCCACGTTGCGCGAACCGACTTGGATTCAGCCTGGGCCGCCGGCCTGAGCCCAGTCTGCTTTTGCTTTCGGCCCAGCCGGCCTGTCCCTGCGCTAGGGTTTGCATCCTAGCCATCCCTTTGATCGGACGGTCGCCCGCGCCTGTCGCCAGAACAAAAACGCCGGCGCCGCGCGGTTCGCCCAAACCCTAGCCTCATTCCGTTTCTCTTTCGTCACTCTTCGCTCTCTCTCTCTCTCTCTCGACAGACGGCCACCACCACCGCCACAATCAAATTAGAAATAAATGCACCTTTAAATTTCAACAATAAAACATGATCATGTTATTAACAAAGTTGGTCATAAAAATAACATAACCATATTCATTTTAATAATCACTTTAACATGCTCTTAAAAACTTAATTCTGTCGAAACTTTTGTTAAAGAGCACTATTAATTATTTACACAGCGGAAAAACATGAATAAAAATTCATGAAATTTTTACTATTTTACAGAAACTTTTCTTTGACCGAATAAGAAATCATGAACTTTTCTAATTTCCTTTGCAAAAATTCATGAACATTTCTATTCTTTTTAGAAACTTTTCTATTTTCTGAACAATCAAAAAAGAGAAAATAGCTGCAGCAGAGCCCGGCACGCGTTGCTGCGGCCTCGGCCCAGCACGACGATGCGACCTCGTCCAGCGCGCGTGGCTGCTGGTGTCCTGGGCCCAGTCGGGTCCCCCTGTCGACCCAGCGGCCTGCCCTGCGCGCCACATTGTGCGAACCGACCTGGATTCGGCCTGGGCCGCCGGCCTGAGCCCAGTCTGCTTTTGCTTTCGGCCCAGCCGGCCTGTCCCTGCGCCAGGGTTTGCATCCTAGCCATCCCTTTGATCGGACGGTCGCCCGCGCCTGTCGCCAGAACAAAAACACCGGTGCCACGCGGTTCGCCCAAACCCTAGCCTCATTCTGTTTCTCTTTCGTCTCTCTTCGCTCTCTCTCTCGACGGCGGAAGCACGGGGATGCGCCCCGGCCGCCCGGCCTGGCCGCCGGCTGCGGCGGCGGAAGCCACCGCGCCGCGCGCGTCTCTGTTTCCTTCCCCCTTCTCGAGCTCCGCCCGCTTCTCGCGGCGTTCTCGCCAGGCCGGTCGGCAGCGACGGCGTTGACGGCCACAGCGGCGCGCTGCGCCGCCCTTTCCTTTTCTGCTCTTTTCCCCATTCCCTCTCCTCCCTCTTCTAGCAACACCGAGAGAGAGAGGTGCGAACCTCATATGCGGCGGCGCCGCCCCCGCCCCCCTTGCCGGCGCGCGCGAGCTCCCGAAGGAAAGTGCGTCGCCGTCAAGCGGCTCGGTGGTGGTGCCCTTTGCCCCTTTCGGGGTAGTGTTCTTCGTCCTGGATCCTCGGCATGACGATGCGATTCGGGATCGAGAGGAACGGTGCGGCCTTGCGGCGGCACAACTTTTCTTTGCCCTCTTTTTTCTGTTGGGTTTAGGTTTCTTTGGGAGGGGATTATATTTGCGGGATTGGAACTCCCGTTTCTTTTTCCTACCAAAAATCCTAAACCGATCTGGCTGATACCATTGTTAACTCCATGGATCGGCTAGGTTTAGGGTTTCGTGGTGGATTACTATGGTATTACCTTCTCCTTGGCCAGATGAGGAACTCCCGTGCCAAAGCCGGCCATGGTGAAGTAGTGGCCGGTGATGGCAGAGAGTGGATGGCGGCGGCGGTGGAGCTTCCCGTGAGCGTCGCGCTAACCCTAAATCGGAAGGGATTGTCGGTGGGGTTTGTGGTAACGATCAACCTCCTGAGTCGTGCCTCGGCCCTCACCTTTGTTTATATAGCGCGGGTCACAGGGGCCCACCAACCATGGTTTGGTTGGGCGCCCCTAATCAGGGCGCGAGTCAGGGGCCCGTTCGACCCGTTGGGTTCGAACGGTAGAAAGATCAAGCTAACAGAGACAAGCCCCGGGCCAACATCATTGCTACAGCAATAAACAGAGTCAAACTGTGATTATGTAGTTACAGTCAAGAAAGGAGCGAGTTGGCATGCCCCAGGCCATGGCCCTGGTAGCCTGGAGCCTGGCTATGCCCCTGGTTAGGATCACAAGTTAATGACATCATCAGTAATTATTCATGCCATCATTTTCCGAGTGCGGCACCATTTTATAGGATGTTGAGGCAAAAATAGCCCCGACAACTCCGGTTAACCCAATATTTTTTTACCCAAGCATGTGTAATAGCCCCTCAACTTTCCTCACATTGATGAAAAGATAATCTTTCCGTGTAATTTTGGCGGGCTGAAACCGCATGAACTTTCACACTCGGACATCCTAGCACCGCCGCCACTGCGAGGCCGCACTGCCGTTGTCAAAGATGGTCGCCGCCGGCAAGCCCCAACCTCTGTTGCCCGCTTCCTCGTCTCCACCGCTACAAATCTGACCTTCTAGACACGTCCAAGACGACTGATGCGTCCTCCTGTTACCTCCCTTGCGGCACGACGCTCCGACCGTCGCCACTCGGCATCGTCGATTTTAACCCCGACATTGCCACCAACACTATTCAACGTGGTTTGCTGCGGGCGTCCGAGCGCCCGCACCCGCACGACGGGATATGGCCGAAGGTGAGCACATATTCGTCGGCAGCACCCCTATACCACGCGCGCTTGTCGCTGTTCTTTTGTCGTTGGGTCACTGGCAAGTGGGCCACGATGATCAGATTATGAGATAGGGGCTAAAATTGATTTACAAAAAATAAGTTTACAGGAACTGTGAAATGTAGTTGTATTTCTCCTAAATTATACGATCATCCCAAAATGACTTTTATGAAAAGTTTTTGACAGGAGCTATTGGTGTTGCTCTAAGGAAATAAATCTCCGTTGTACGCATTCTTGCACCAAAGAAGAAAAAATTGCATATTTATACTTCCTTTTTCTACTTTGTATACTTTTTTCTCAATGAAGAAAATAAACTTCGTGTGATAGAGTAATTTTTACTGTATAGTTAATGAACGAATTGGGTGTGCCATTAATCAGGTGACGGGACAGAAGGTGATGTGGTAGCTGGCGGCGCCGGCGCAGGTGAAGGTGGAGCTGGCGTCGTCGTAGGCGTAGCTGTAGGCGGCCGGGCAGGCGGCCTTGAATACCCGCGAGTAGTTCGTGGGCCCGCACTTCGCCGGCGTGCCGTAGTCGCCAGTGCAGCAGTAGCGCGCGCTGCCGTAGGCGTTGCACGCGCTCTTGCACGCCACCACCTCGCCGGAGCCGGACACCACGCGCAGGTCCGACGGGCAGACCGCGTTCACGTCGCCCGCGCACGCCGCGGCGCGGCAGGCACCGCCGTCCCCATTGTTGTCGGGCGCGATGGAGAGGGGCAGGTTGAAGCCGTCGACGAGGCTGACGTCGTAGAAGTCCTGGCCTCCTCCGCCCGGGGCGGCGAGGGTGATCTCAGCGAGCGTGACGGGCGGGGCGGGCCCGCGGCCGGCGCAGGCGACATCGCTGGTGCCACAGTCGGCGGTGGCGCAGGCGAGGCGGCCCGTGGAGGCGTCGACGGCGCAGCCGGTGCGCGCCCAGAAGTTGCCGGACCAGGCGCCGGAGGACGGGGCGGCGACGGCGTCCGTGGCGCCGGAGGCGAGGTAGAAGCCGGTGCGGGCGAGCCGCGGCGATGTGGCGCCGTTGAGAGCGCCCACCCACACCGGGTGCGCGCACGCGTTGTGGAAGATGAACGACCTCGCCGCAGCCGCCTCCGGCCGACCGTTGGTGGCGACGCCGAGGAGAAGGACGATGACCAGGTGGAGAGGAAAGAGTTTGGTCAGCTGCCTGCACATGCTGCAGGTGGAAGAAGCTCCATGGCTGCCTTTATCGCCGGCGGCGACCATGGGCATCATCAGTCAGTTGGAGACGAGAAGGCCGGTCACAGGAAGCAGCCAAGATAGGATGAACGGAGAAACACCTCGATCGATTGATCGATCCATCCATCTATCTCGTCAAATTTATAGTAGTGCGTGCCGACCTACAAGAAGCAAGTAGGGGCGTACATGTCATGCACGCACGAGACTATCTATGAACCACATGAGTAGGTAGGTAGGTAGATAGACGGGATAGGTGATAGGTGGTGCCTGCGTGGAGGAGAAAAACCGGATTGCATTTTTGTGTGGAATTAATTTTTTTGAACACAGCACAGACACAAGCATACACGCGCATACACTCATCAGTATGAACGCACACACGCACACTTTACCCTTATGAACACCTCCGAAAGACTGAGCCGGTATATCATCTTGAAATTTACGAAGTCGCCGTATGCATCCAGGAATAAATGCGAGCACCAGAATTTGAACCTTGGTGGGCTGGAAATACCATAGTCCATCTAACCATTCAACCACAGGTTGGTTCGCTCTGTCGAATTTATTTATTTACTTCTTTTGCGAGTGTTATTTATTTATACTTTTGGTGGCTCACGTACATACGCTTGTCGCTTGGCATGGGCTAGTTGCATCCATATGTTCATCATATAGCTTTGAGGTGGTTTCGTATCCTACAATAATCTCTTCGTTTGTTCTTTGCTATTATTGCTTTTGGAGTGACTCTTTGTTGCATGTTGAGAGATAGTTATATGATCCAACTATGTTATTATTGTTGAGAGAACTTGCACTAGTGAAAGTATGAACCCTAGGCCTTGTTTCAACGCATTACAATACCGATTTCGCTCACTTTTATCATTAGTTAACTTGCTGTTTTTATATTTTCAGATTACAAAAACCTATATCTACCATCCATATTGCACTTGTATCACCATCTCTTCGCCGAACTAGTGCACCTATACAATTTACCATTGTATTGAGTGTGTTGGGGACACAAGAGACTCTTTGTTATTTGGTTGCAGAGTTGTTTGAGAGAGAACGTCTTCATCCTACGCTTGCCACGGATTGATAAATCTTAGGTCATCCACTTGAGGGAAATTTGCTTCTGTCATACAAACCTCTGCACTTGAAGGCCCAACAACGTCTATAAAAAGATTGTGTAGTAGACATCAATACCACCGGAGCCGCCCCCAACGCTACCGGAGCCGTGCTGCCTCATCAACGCCACCGGAGCCGCCCCCAACGCCACCGGAGCCACCCTCGACGCCCCTGCCTCCCTCGCCACAACTGCATCCCTCGCCGTCACCAGAGACACCCTGCCTCCCTCGCCACCACTGCCTCCCTCGCCACCACCGGAGCCATCCTCTGTAAGCCCCCACCCCTCCTCCCTCTCTCATGCATAATACAAACATTGGACAGAGGACTAGCTAGCTAGGTTAACTAGTTTAATTAGGTTAATTATCTAGGTTAGTGCAAAATTTTAGTTAGGGCTTTGACAGAGAACTAGTTAGATTAACTAGTTTAATTAGGTTAATTATCTAGGTTAGTGCAAAATTTATTTAGGGCTTTGACAGAGAACTAGCTAGGTTAATTAGTTTAATTAGGTTAATTATCTAGGTAAACTAGGTTAACTAACTAGGTTAACTGGCTAGGTTAATTAGGTTCGTTGGGTTAACAAGCTAGCTTAACTAGGTTGGCTAGGTTAAATTTATTTTAGAGCATTAGGTGAGAAGGGTTGGAGAAATGGAGTTCCTTTGCAATTTAATTGCGTTCTATCCTAGGCAGAGATGGGTTAGAGAAAATAATGTGTGTGTGTGTGTGAGGAATAGCTAGACCAGAATTTGGGTTCTGTCCTAGGCAGAGAAGTGTTTAGTGAGGTCATTTTGCAAAGGTTTTTGATTTTTGAAAAGACCACTATTTCCAAGGAAAAAAATTTAGGCAAGTTTTATTTTAAAGATGATCCCTTCCTAGACTTTTATTGTAGATTATATCTTTTCATTTAAGTGGTCATGTTATATCTTTTCATAGAAGTGGTTCGATTGTGCCCAAGTGGCCTTTTGTTGTTTCTAGGGAATGAAGCCGAGTGGCCTATGTTTTGCCGGAATGTTGATTCATTTCCTTTCCGGCAAATTTTAGGTGCTTGATTTGTCCACTTTTTAGCAAAGGTCATGCCGAAATTTTCCGTGAATTTTGGCATGACTTATGCTACAAACTAGGACATATCGAGTGCCCGGGATTTGCTGCACTAGGAAGGAATCAACGTTCCTGCAAAACATAAGCCTTTTATGTCATTATTCAATTTATTAGGTCTAGAATTAAGTGACTAGATTTAATCCTAGGAAACATGGCTAGCAATGATGAAGGACAGGGTTATGGTGATTGCGACGACGTCTACCTGGCGGCAGACGGATTTTCGAACCTTGCCGCCGATCAACGGTTGTTGTTGCTGGGCCCACCTATCACATCGGAGACTGAGACCGACATCGAGACCGGCGCTGAGACTGAGACCGGCGCCGAGACCGGCACCGAGACTGGCAGAGCCGGTATAGAACCGAAACCAAAGAGGCTTCAAAAGAGGAAGGGGCTTCAAAAGAGGAACATAGGGTGCCACCACCTCGGAAGACGTGATTACGCTGGGAAGAGGTCCATATGGGCCAAGGAGGACACGAAACGCAAAAAATTCTGGGCATCCCAGACCCCTTCGCAGAGTTCACCGTCCCACGGGAGCATGACGTCCTCAGGGCCCGGTACCATTGGGACCCAGTCAATAAGGTTTTCGAGACGGACCCGGTCACGACGAAGTTCATGAGACTGCTGGTAATTTTAGTTTCTGATCAATTCGACTGCACGTTTAGTCATATTTGTAAGGGATAATTATATTTATGCCCCTAGTTGTGTCCCACTCGTCTGTTTTACCCCTAATTCCCAAAAGTCACCGGTTCTGTCCAAATCACTTTGCTCCTTTATGCTTTTGCCCTTTGACCGTTTGACCGTCAGTTTGAAAACTTCATAACTAATTCATACTAAATCAGAAAAATTCAAATAAGATACCAAAATGTTCAGAAAAACATCACCTATATGTCAGTGTCATTTGCATCCATGAAAAAAGTGTTGGAAAGTGCCCATCCGAGTTTTAGCTCTTATGCTACCACCATGAATTGTAAAATCTTAAAAAGTTCCAAAAATTCAAAAATAATTTCATGGCAAAGAATGACAAATGTTTTAAGTGTCTGCCAAGTTTCATCAGGGAATAACGTTCGTGGGTGCCGCGGCAAAAAAAACTATCAGCACTCCAAAATAGATTTTTTTTGCCACGACTTCCACGAATGTCGTTCCCTAATGAAACTTGGCAAGCACTTAGAACACTTGTCGTTCTTTGCCACCATATTTTTTTGAATTTTTTTAAGTTTTTTAGAGTTACTATTCATGGTGGTATCAAAAGAGCTAAAACTCGGATGTGCACTTTCCAACACTTTTTTCATGAATGCAAATGACACTGACATATAGGTGATGTTTTTCTGAACATTTTGGTATCTCATTTGCATTTTTTTGATTTTGTATGAATTAGTTATGAAGTTTTCAAACTGACGGTCAAATGGTCAAAGGGCAAAAGCATAAGAGGATCAAAGTGACTTGGACAGAACTGGTGACTTTTGGGAATTAGGGGTAAAACAGACGAGTGGGACACAACTAGGGGCATAAATCTAATTATCCCTATTTGTAAACGATCCTTGTTCCTTTTGCAGAGAGAGCAACACAGTATTGCGGCCGAAAGCGACTCGCCGTCTGAGGCGTTGGCGTGGCCCAAGTGGGACACCCCATTCAACCGGGCCTTGAACATATTGAAACGACTCCCAGTGGACACTCGGCCATCGTATGGACATGTGCACGGTGTTGGAGACGGCACCACGTGGAAGAAGTACTACCGTGAGACCACGGAGCAGAGAAAGGAAAGACAAAGGTTAACTGAAGAAAACATTGACAAGAAGGTTGAGATTGCGGTTGAGAAGAAATCAGCTGAGACAGTCGCAACAGCGGTAGCTACCGCAAAACAGGCGATTGCAGATTCATGTGGTGTCTTGGTTCCGGTCGTCGTCAGTTGGAGCAGGCAAAATCCAAATAAAAATGCAGTGGACTTTCCCCTTGCCGACTTCTTCGGGAGTAGCTCGACTAGCATTGCACCAGCACCTGCTCCAGCACCTAATCATGCATCGGCTCCCGTACCAGCTCCTGCACCGGCTCCCGCACCTGCTCATAACAACCCGTCCTCCATCTCGAATGTGCTCGGCAGTGCTTCGTCTCTGGCTGAGCTTGACGCCCTCACGGTACCTGTCACACCGGCCCTTTTCAATAAATATATAATCTCATGTTTCCATTGCCTTTCAGATGACTCATGTCGCAGACATGTCTTTGTAGGCCGACGTAACCTCGTGCACCATTTTGTACACCATCAGCGACCAGAAGGTGGACGTGGGAAAGGCGACGATAATGAAGCCGAAGGAACAATTATTCCACAGCCGACCGATCCCCCCTAACGTCTTCAAGGTTTCCGTGGCCAGTGTCAAACCGGGCCACGAGAGTTTGGCTCCTCCGGTACTAGGGGGGATGACGACGAGACCCCGCGGTGGCTTGACGATTGCAAGGGGTGGTCCTGTTGTGGCCAAAGAGTCTGCTTCGTCTGGAGGCGGCCAGGAGCACACCCACGACCATGCAGCCTCAGCAAGGTATGAACATCAACACCCCACCTACCCAATTAGCGTCGCCTGTAATGCTGGGTGATAGCAGACTGGGTGAGGAAGAGGCTCCATTAGTCACGGGTGATGTCACCATAGATGAGGATGAGGATGACAATGACACTCAACAATATCTCAATACTGGCGCCTACGATGACGGAGGATTGATGGCTCAGTAGTATGAGTACTCAGGGTTTGAGCGTCATGAGTCGGTGCCTGAATTGCCGCCTCCGGAGGCTGAACATATTATAGACGACCTTCCACCAAAGAAGCATATTAAGAGAGCAAGGA